GTGCTGGTGCATGCCTGCAACACTAGAACTTGGATGGGGGAGGCAGAAGAATCATGAGTTCAACTCCCTGTCCTTGGCTACATACTGAGCTCAAGCCTCTCTGGGCTACATGAAACCCTGCCTAAAAAACAAAACAAACAAAATACAAAGAAACCTCACGAAATTATTAGTGAAATAGAAGAAAAATATTAATTGATTTATTAATATAAAAATTATTGTACATTAAGAAACAAAATTAAGGGGGCTGGAGAGATGGCTCAGTGGTTTAGAGCACTGGATGCTCTTCCGGAGGACCTGGGTTTGATTCCCAGTACCCACATGACAGCCAACAACCATCCATAACTCCTCCAGGGGATCCAACACCCTCTTCTGACCTCCATGGGCACTGCACGACATCGGTGCACTTACACACATGCAGGCAATACACTCATACACATAAAATAAAAAAAAGAAACAAATACCAAAAAAATGGAAAAAATTTCAACACTTATGATTAAATACTTACAATACCTCCTTAGACTATTAAAAATATCTGAAAATCAGTATAAAGATAGGTAAAAGACAAATATTCAGAAAGAAGAAATAAGAATTAAACTTTCTCAATAGTTAGCTTTTTTATTTAGCTTTACCACCCATAAAGATCAAGGTAGAATCAAGAAAGTATAGAATGCCATTATCTGTTCAAAGGCAGAGGTAATATTTAACAGCAGTTTATGGTCTAGTATTTCACATGTGGCTGGCAAGGGCATGGGCGAGTGTATTGACTGTTACGAGCCATTTAGAAAGCAATGACATTCTATTGCCAATGTTTTAAGGAAACTGGCATTTTCGCACATTACTGGTGGAACAACCAAGCAACATCATTCCTAAGGAGCACAATTTGGCAATATCCACAAAATTATAGACATTCATTCTCTGGCCCTTCCAACCAACTTCGACCATTTATATTTACCCTATAAATATGGTTGTCCCTGTATGAAATCACAGGTGCAGAAGAGCATTTGTTGCAGTAGCACTCATTGTAAAGAACTGCGCATAAAATAAAGCCAATGTCCCAAAAGAAGACTACTGAAACACACTGAGGTTTGTCCACAGAATGGGTGTCTTCTAAAAGGAATCAGGAAATCCAAGGGTGTTATTCCACGTGAACAATATTAACACTATCTTTGGTATAAGAAAAAAAGGATAACTATGTGCTGTTACTTTGTTAAATGCTTCCAATTCCAAGATTAAATTAAGCTCATTTCTCACAATATCTGCAAATATTCCATAATTTAACTTATATACTAGAAATAACCTAAACACTCTAAAAGAATAATCAAACAAATTATGATACATGCAATAAAATACTGCGTCTATTGAAAAATACTGAGTTTGGAATAACATGTTTTATAATTAACCAAAAATATGACATTAAAAACTCATACAATGTCAATTCAACATACAATATAAACTCTAAAAAGGAAATCATAAAGCTATCTAAATAATATTTGGTGTGTATCTCAACATGGATGATGAGTTCAGTGGTAATGTCACATATGGTTCAGTCAAACGACTACCACTGCGCAGAATAACACTAAGAGACAAGAGTGGAGAAATGTGGGAACAAGGGACATTGCTACATTGCTGATGGCAGGAGATGATTTTCACAGTCCATTTGTAGAAAATGAGAATCACAAGGATTCAGTTTTTAGGAATCTGAGAAGAAATATGAAGAAAGGCTAACCAGCAAAAATCACAAAAGAAACATCACATACTTTGAAGGCTGCCCAAGGTGGGTGATGTTTTTCTCTATCCTCTGAAGCTACAAGACTCTATCTATCTATCTATCTATCTATCTATCTATCTATCTATCTATCTATCTATTTGCTGGTTGAGTCAGGCTCTCTCAATAGATTGCCCAGGCTGGTGTTAATCTTGTAATCCTCCTGCCTCAGCCTCCGGGGTGCTGGGATTACAGGCATGAGCCACCACACCCAGCTACTTTTCCATAGTCTGTCAAATTTCCTGTTACCACCAAGTCTCTTAGCTGATTCTGGAGAAAGGAAGACACAGCACAAAGCCAAGGATCTATTTCACTATGACTCACATAGAGGTGGAACTCAAACACCAGCTCAGTCCTGATGCCCTTTATGTACTAAGGACTATGTATGTGTTTAAGTTTGCAAAAATGATTTCCAAATTCAAAAACTGTAAAGATTATTATAGTATTCTAATTGCTTTACAAGACAGGGATCCAATTTATAAGAAAGTGTGTAGCTTCTTAGAGTAGGGTAGACAAGGGAAAAGAAGAGGTACATTCAGGTACACAAAAAACAGTATTAAGACTGCATGACAGATGCACCATGAACACCAAAGATGTCTAAGAGACAGCATGATAATGGAGAACGTTTAACACTGAAGATGTGAAATCAAGATTTTAGCTTTAGCACCAAACCTACATCTATGGAGGATGCGACTTAAAGTAGCTCATTAGTTGGCTCAAGTATCTATAGTTCAGCAGGCTGGTCCATGAATAAGATACCAAGGTAAGTGTTGAGAATACACCAGGACACAAGAGAGTTGTGGAAGATAGAAGATGTTAAGTACTAACTGTTGAGCGTGAAGGTTTAGGGGAGTGAAGAAAAGGCATACGAGATCTAGTCTGACAGGTTAAAGAAGGCTGCATGGATTAATTAATATTAAGGCCAGACCTGAATCAGAATCCAAGTAGGAATTAGGGAGCTTAATTAGAATGAGAGGAATATTCTAGGCAGGAGAATGATGTGTGCAAAGGACCACAATTTAGTATTGCACACCTTGTAGCTAGGTTAAGAGACTATACAACTAGTTATAGATCTCTCATTAGGGAATGAGAGCATTAAAGAAAAGGCAAATGACATTATACTCAAAGGGGAAAATAGAATTTTTACTAATTCAAAATGTTTACCGCGTAGTCAGTATGTACCAGACATCATTCTAGGCACTGAGAATGCATCAGTGAACAAAGAAAATAAAAGTTCTGTTCCGATAAGGCCTATATCCTACTACCATAGGCAGCAGACACAACATAAATGATACTGTACATCGGTGTGTGAACAATGCTATGGGTATGGTGAGCAGGGGGGTGAGGGGTGCTTTAAATAGAATAGCTAGGGACTGCTTCAGTGAACAGGTGGTAAGTCACTAAAACCTGCAAGAGATGAGGGAGTGAGCCTTGCAGAGATAGAGAGAAAGCACATTCTAACAGACAGCAGAGCCTGCACAGAGTCCTGATTAGGATCGTGTGTGGAATGTTCTAAAATAGGCAGGAAAAGTGCGGCAGGCAAAGGACTGAGCAGTGTGGAATGAGGCAAGAGAAAAGAGCGCTGGAAAAGGCACGCCTGTGGGATCTTGTAGACTCCTGTAAGAATCCAGGGAGGGCTGATTTTTTACTTCCTCCATCCCTGATATAAGGAAGAGCAAGAAGAAAAAGAGCTAAGAGAAGGAGAAAGGCCAGGCATGCAGGCCCAGGTGGGAAAGACTGAAAGTGGTCCTCCTGAAGGCAACAGGACCAGCATGGTCAGAGAACACTGCACAACGTGGTGGGTTTCATGATGACACTGCTGCTCAAGTCCGCACTTTATTATTCACCCCCATGACCCTTCATTTCTCTTCCCAAATAATCCTTTTACTTTAATATGAGAGAAAGAGAGAGAGAGAGAGAGAGAGAGAGAGAGAGAGAGAGATCCATGTATGAGAGAAAATGTGATATTTGTCTTTCTAGGTCTGCCTTATTTTGCTTAAAGTGATCTCAATTCTATCCATTTTCCTACAGATGACACAATTTTCTTCTTCCTTACGGCTGAATAGAATACCATGGGGTACTACGGTTTTCTTTTAAATTTTTTCTTTTTCCTCCTTCTTCTTTTCCTCCTCTTCCTCCTCTGTTTTTTCAAGACAAGGTCTCGTATAGCCCAGCTCAGGCTAGCTTTTAACGCACTTTGTAGCTGAGGATAACCTCGAACTCCTGATCCTCCTGCCTCTAGAAACCTGAGCTCTGGGATTACAGACGTGCTGAGGATCAAACCCAGAGTTTCCTGTATGCTAGGCAAGCACTCTACCAAACAGACTACATCCCTAGCCTCACATTTTCTTTATCCATTCATGGATGTGCCTGTATCTCTGTAGTAAACCTGCTTGTGCCTCTCAGAAGCACAGATTATGCTCCTCTGTTAGCAACTTTTCATTCCATGAATGTACTTTGGTCACTTGAAATTGGCCATGGTGAGGATATTTATACCATGAAAATGGCAAATGCCATCCAGGTGGTGAGTTGGTTTAGTTGCATGCACTTCCTCCAAGTGGCCCTCAGACACTGAGGGAAAACAAAGATGAAGGCAGACCTTAATGAGCCTCTTTTGCATGAATCAACATGAAGGCTATAACAAGCATTTGGAGGAAAAAAAATGGCACATGGATCTAAAATAAACTCTGCAGGTGGACACTTCGGCTTGCCTTGCTTGAGAAAATAAGCAAGACAATGGTATGCAAATATGAGTTCCGGAGGGCCAAACCTGCACTAAGCTCTCCTCTTTTTCTGACTAGTGTCCTTCTGGAAGCTTGGGAAAGTAAACAGCCTCTCCAGACAGAGGGTTTGAAGGTTTGGATTCTGGCCCTTGACAAAAAGGTTATAAGAAGACAGGAGAGCTTAAAGCCATGGGGAAAGGCACATTTTGAGTCATCCAGAGAGAAACAGCACAGGAAAGCCAGGAGTAAAGTTTAAGTAAATATGAATTTAAGTAAAATATGAATTAATGCTGCATGAAATGTTAGAATTTCATGTTTGATCATTTGGTTTTCAAAAGGTAACTTTCTGGGTTAAAATCATTTTTTGTTTTCTCTCTTAAACAAAACAATTTTCTTAAGTACTTCTGTGGCGACTCACAGCAAGTGCTGTTGGCTGCCGAGTCCCCCTTGGCTTGGCTGGCAGTTAGCTGCTCAGCTACAGGGCTTTCTTGTGCCCTTCAACTGAGTGGAAAGGGACAGCTCTGCAGTTCTGGAGATAAAACAGAATTCTTTCACATTTGCGTCTTAGGATACTTAAGAATTTGGATGGATTTCACGGGAAGGTTTCACATACAGTAAGAGATTAAGAGCCCAGGAGGTTAAATTTCAGGAAAGCTCTCTTGGATCCCAGATAAAGGCGGGGTGTTTAAAAAAAAAAAAAAACGAAAACAAAAGTTGCCTGAGTCAGAGTCCTTTGACTTTCCCCTGCACGCCAGACTGCTTCTCTCCCGACTGAAACAGGTTGGTTCCTTTTCTCTTTTCTCATTCTGACTTGAATATATATTTATTCAAAGCTCAAAGATTCTGTATTTTTACCTGTGTTTGTGTGTGTGTGTGTGTGTGTGTCTACAAGAATTTTAACATTTACATGTGCAAAAGGAGCTATTTAAAAACAGCTATGCACTTTGACCTTCAAATGAAAATATTAATACACCAAAAAGAAAATATTATTTTCAATACCATTATTTTTAAAACTTTGTCAGTGAGCAAAAGGGTTTGTCTGGTTATTTCTTTACGATTTTAAAAAGAAATTCTTTTGTTCTTAAAATAATTATAAAAGCATTAAATGTCTTCTATCTATCTGCCAGAAGAATACTTCCCTCAGATAATCTCCATTCCTGTTCCTATTTCCTCACGTTGTTGGTAAGTTACTTCTTAATTTAAAATACTTTTCTTTTTCAAAAAATTTATTATTTTTATTTTATGTGTATGAGTGTATTGTCTGCATGTATGTGAGTACACCGTGTCGTGCAATGCTGCAGAGGTCAGAAGAGGGTTTCGGATTCCCCTAGAACTGGAGTTCAGGACGGTTCATAGCTGATATGTGGGTGCTGGGAATCGAACCTGGGTCCTCTGCAAGAACAGTCAGTGCTCTTAACTGCTGATCCATCTCTCCAGCCCCCTAAAATACTCTACTTTAATATATTAATTGGCTATTTTATTCTTTAACATCAAGTTCAAGATTTCTAGGATATCAGAGAGGAAAGAACAAAGTTCATATTGTGTTAATAATTAATACATAGTAAAAAGGAAGACCACAGTAATCTTCCACATTGGAACTTTGCACATAACGTTAATGAAATAAACAGTCATTTTAAATTGCTTGTGCTTGGATTTGGCATGATAAAAAAAACTGGTCTATGTAGTATCTCACTTTACTCATTTGAAAGAGAGCAAGTCAAAGATTTTGTTTGAAACTGAATGTTAACATACTGTTTTGAAAATATTTCTGTGATTGATTCTATAAGACTTGAGATTCTGCAAAGGGCAAAAATAGACAAAATGTGCTAGAAAGGCTAAAGAAGAAAAATCTAACCTAAATTAGCACTGTTAGTAAACAACGTTAAAAATCATTATAGGCCAGGTGTGGTGGCGCACACACGCTCTTGATCCCAGCACTCCCAGGCAGGCTGGAGACCCTGTCTCAGAAAGACCAAAAGAAAAAAGTCATTACAATTTTCAAACTTGTGAATTCTGGGCAAGCTTATCTTAGTACAATGGGGTGCTATTAGCCTACACAATGTGACTCCTTAATGCTGAGACAGGATATTTCTGACAAGCCCTCTTATCCATTCTAAAACAACAGCTTTATATGTGTTGGCAAAAGCTCCAGAACTTGACAAATATTTAGTGAGGAGCTAGTTTGTGCCAGCTATGCTAATAAGGCTCTAATCACAACCACAAATCAATCAGCTCAGACTTCAAAGAACTCAGAGCCAAGAAACACATCTTCTTCATAGGATGGAGTCAGTTCTTGACTCAGGAAAGTCTTCCGGGGAGACAACATCCAAGTTAACTTATTAGAAACTGATTCTTAAGGGGAAGGCAGAGAATAGTGTTGGAGAATGATGGAGATGCACGGTGCAGCACGGTATGTGTCAACCAACAGCTAGCAACTTAGCATATTACTGCCCACTGTGTGGGGCACAGTAGGGAAGAGGTGGCAGCAGCTGTGGGTAGTACCGTGTTATGGAGGGAGCCCCAGGGTATCATGCTAAGGAGCTTGTGTGGTGTCTTCCATAGGAAGACAAGTGCCTTCCAGGTACAGAGCTAAGCAAGGGGGAGGCAGATTGGCAAGTAAGAGGTAGAACACCCACTCTGTGGCAGTAAGAAAAATGTTTTTGACAAGAGTTTGTGAGAAGGAATAACAACAGTAGGAGTCCAGCCAGGGAGAGCACAGCAAGCCAGGGGAGAAACAGAAGAGACAGACAAGATGGGACAGGGAGGCTCAAGATCTTTGTGTTTGAAAGGTAAAATCAGAACCTGTAAGCCAGTGTGGTGATTCGTGTCTGTAATTTCAGCACTTGGAAGGCTGAGGCAGGAGAATTGTTAGCCTGGGCTACAGAAAACAAAAGCAAATCAAATCAAAGCAGTAAAATAAAATAAAGAAAGAACTTATGGACTGAGAGGAAATGAGGGATCTAGGTAAGACGGAAGTCAAGGACACGGTCAGCTTTCAGCTTAGAGGATCCTGTCAATGGTGCTACCGATAGTTCACAATACACAGGTAGCAACAGATTTTGGAGGCAAGATGATTAATAAGGGTTTGTTTTAGAAAAGCCAACCAGTGATATTCAGTGCAAATGCTGAGCTAATTTATTTAAATTAATTTTATAAATAACATTAAAATGAAAAATTAAAACAAATCCACTTTGAAAAGTAAATCAACTTATTTTAATTTTTAAAATTTATGTAGCTATACTCCATAAGACAAAGTTACATATGTGAAAATTAGCACACTTCATATGGTGTTTGATTGAAAATTAATTAAGTGATTAAAGTGCTTGCCACACACAAGTGTGAGGATTGGTGTTCAGATCCCCTGAACCCATGTAAATGTGGGCTGGGTATCCAGGGCTCAGACGGACTCCTAAGAACAAAGGATGGGGAACTAACCCAATGTGGCTCCCATTAGTGCTTTCAGTGTGAGGTTCCGGCTCACGTATGTGAAAGCCACAATCTATTCTCTTGGGAAAGCACAGCACATGCTAGGCAAAAGCTATTTCCTTTCAAGCAATGTTAAAATGAGTTCTCTTGTGTTCTTTCTGCCATCCAGATTGCAGCCATGACTTTAGAGCAGAACCAGTCAACAGATGATTACTATGAGGAAAATGAAATGAATTACACTTATGACTACAGTCACTATGAAGTGGTCTGTATAAAAGAAGAGGTCAGACAATTTGCAAAAGTCTTCCTTCCTGCCTTCTTCACCATAGCTTTCGTCATCGGGCTGGCGGGCAATTCAGTAGTTGTGGCAATTTATGCCTTTTACAAGAAGCAGAGAACGAAGACAGACGTGTACATCCTGAATCTGGCTGTGGCAGACTTGCTCCTGCTATTCACGCTGCCTTTCTGGGCAGTTAATGCAGTACATGGGTGGATTTTAGGCAAAATGATGTGCAAGGTAACTTCGGCCTTGTACACAGTAAACTTCGTCTCTGGAATGCAGTTTCTAGCTTGTATCAGTGTTGACAGATACTGGGCGGTTACTAAAGCTCCTACCCAGTCAGGAATGAGGAAACCGTGCTGGATCATCTGCTGCTGTGTGTGGATGGCTGCCATTTTGTTGAGCATCCCCCACCTGGTTTTTTATACTGTGAATCAGAACAGCAGGTGCACGCTCATCTTTCCCCACCACCTAGGAACCTCCCTGAAGGCATCGATTCAGATGCTGGAGATCTGCATCGGCTTTGTGCTCCCCTTCCTTGTTATGGGGGTGTGCTACTCTGTCACAGCCAGGACACTCATCAAGATGCCAAACATTAAAAAGTCTCGGCCCCTCCGAGTTCTGCTCACAGTGGTCGTGGTTTTCATTGTCACCCAGCTGCCTTATAATATTGTCAGGTTCTGCCAGGCCATAGACACCATCTACTTGCTGATCACCAACTGTGACATGAGCAAACGCATGGATGTTGCCATCCAAATCACAGAGAGCATCGCGCTCTTCCACAGTTGCCTCAACCCAGTCCTGTACGTCTTCATGGGAGCTTCTTTTAAAAACTATATTATGAAAGTGGCTAAGAAGTATGGATCCTGGAGAAGACAGAGGCAAAATGTGGAGGAAATTCCTTTCGATTCTGAGGGTCTTACAGAGCCAACCAGCTCTTTTACCATTTAAGTGTAAAACCGCTCTACTTTTTGCTTGGATACACATAAGTGATGTTTCTCAGATAAAATATTTGCCTTATTCTGAAACTCAAGCATTAGACACCCGACTACTGTTGCAACTTACAACAAAGAGGTGTAGGGGTGGGAAACAGAAGCAACAAATGGGAAAGCATGAAAATTGAAATTAATGACACAGGAAAATACCAGCAGCAGGCATAAATAACAGCACCATGCCCTAGGAGGAAGGCCTTTGTAGTGCTGGGGTAGTTTTGTATTGTGATTGCTATGGAGCTATTCTGTAACAACTCCACACAGTGTGTGAATTCCAACTTCCTGGTTTTGATATCAACTATAATTGTGTAGGATAAACCACAGGGTTTGAAAGGGTACCCAGGATCATCCTGTGCTATCTTTGTAACTTCCTGTGAATTTATAGTAACTCCAAAATAAAAGAAATTCAATAAAAAGCCCACCATGCTAGAAGCCAGACAATCTAACATTGATTAATAGAGACTTTTATAATTATTTTCCAATTAAATTTTAATGATAATTTCCCTGCACAATTTTTATACTTCAATAACTATGCAGCAAAAATTACTGTTTTTTTCTGTTTCTTAATTTATGCTGGCACGTGCCTTTAATCCCAGCACTTGGGAGGCAGAGGCAGGCGGATCTCTGTGAGTTCAAGGCCAGCCTGGTCTACATAGTGACTTCCAGGACAGCTGGGGCTACAAAGATATCAGAAAGAATAACAGTTACCTATAACCCCCCCCCCCCGAATGCCCATGAATTTTCTGAACTTTTCATGATTTCTGGTAAGTTCCTAAATGTGTAATTTGCTTCCATGATGTAATCTTTCTTTGATAATTACTAAAGAAAATTATCCTAATAAATGCTGGGTTAATCCTGCATATTCTGGAAGCAATCCACAGATAATCATAGTTTTCTAGACTCGAATTTTATAATTTCCTAAAAACCTTGCCCATGTATGTGAGTCTTTTACTGAAAGCTGATGAACAGATATATTATCCCACATATAAGTGCTTATTTTTCATTTAAACATGCATATTTTAAGCAATAAAATATGTACCACATTACTGTTGTCGTTGTTATTAATGCTTAGGATTAAACCTGAGACCTGGTGCGTGTTAACTAAGCATATATTCCATCACTAACCTACACAATATTTTTTTTGGTCTTTTGAAACAGGATCTCCCTGTAGCCCCAGCTGGCCTGGAACTCACCATGTAGACCAGGCTGGCCTGAACTCACATAGATCCACCTGCCTCTGCCTCCCAAGTGCTGGGACTTTACTTTAAATAACATTACAGCTTATCAAATTACTTTCAGTCTTACCTACTATCTCTAAATTTGAAATGATTCAAAGGATTTAGAGAATTACGGTCATACTACAGACTATGAATCCTGGCACTACCCTAGTACAGAGGCCCAATCTGCTGAGTGAGGATTACGTAGACCACTCACCACTGCTCCACCACTTCTTGCCATTAACTATATAGCTGTCTCCATCTCGCTGGATGCTGCATTCAATGTTTGTGGCATCACTTGATGCGACACTGGGCTCTATAATGGACAAAGGCTGAATTACAGGCAGGCAGAGATCATCAGTCAAAGACACTTAGATAAGAGAGTGCAAGCTCTTTGAAAATAGAGCCATGCTGGTCCTTTTCTTCAGTCTTCCAGTCTTTCCCCTTTTGTTACCCACACATTGTAGGTATTCGCTAAATAATGACTAGAGGATGAGGGGGGTGAAGTATGGGGTCAGTGCTGTCAATTGTGTTCTTGGCTCCCTTGCATTTTCCATTTATCAAAAGTAGAGAAAAACAGTTCTCTCTCTCTCTCTCTCTCTCTCTCTCTCTCTCTCTCTCTCTCTCCCCTTCCCTTCCTTCCTTCTTTTCTTTCTTACAAGATAGGGTCTCTCATTGGCCTGGTACTTGCTGATTGGCTAGGCTGGCCAGCCCCTGAGCCACAAGGATTTTCCTGTCTCTAGCCCTGCAGTGCTGGAATTAGTATTGCTTGGAACCACAGGACTTTTATGTTGATCCTGGCCATCTGGGCATCTGGGCATCTAACTCAGGTCCACATCTTACATGGCAAGCACTTTACAGACTGTCATCTAACTACCTCCTATGCTGTTCTTCTACATGAGTCCTTCAGATGTTTCATGCATTGTTTCTAAAACTTTGGAGAAAGGGGTCTATGTACTTATTTTGTAACCTTAAGTTGGTGCTTTGTAAACAATAGGTCAATACATCATTCTGTAGGTGCTCAATAAATGTCTCTTACTGATCAAGTTGAAAGAACTTTTGTTATTATATAAACTGTTGTAGAAAATAATAAAATCTGCCCATTATTGAGGGTGCTTCAAATTCTGGCTGAACCAAATTGAGTTTAATTCTAAACCCAACTTGAGATGATGAGTTTTGTCTTTTAAGGGATTTTTAAACTGCCATTTCGTATGTATAGATGGTACTAACATCAGTTTTATTAGTCTGTTCCTGCTTTTATTTTTCTACACGATTGCTTTTTAAACCATATTCCCAGCATTGGTACAAGTTATATTTTTCTAGGGCTATGGATTAGTTGAATATTTTATATTTATGTAAAAATACCATAAAGATGAATATCAGTCTGTGGAAATTTTAGAAACACAAGCTAAGATTATGAGATTATGAGATTAGGGTTACTCTGTTGCTGATTGCTAAAGCAGACTATACAAACATCTGGGAATGCTTAGGGAATCCTCCCTAAGGAAAGGAAGGGTTCATCCCACACATTTAAAAATGCCAGCATTTCAAATAAGCCTCAAACATATTCTGGCCATGGACAAAGTTGGCTGCATTTGACCCATGTCCCACACTGCTTTAGCCCATCCACAATAACCCTAGGACGACAATGACAGGAGGGAGGACTTTGATTGTTTTTACCTGTCATGCAGAAGGCAGATGTGATGTCCCCTCGAAGGAGGGGCTCCAGCCACTGATGCTTCTGCTGCTCACTTCCGTACAGGTGCAGCACCTCCATGTTCCCTGTGTCTACACGTGAGAAGAACACTTGTTTTACACTTCACACCTTGTCAATATGAAATCCACAACTTCATGCAGACAATACAGAGGAGCATCTTTTTAATCTAATGTTTGTTAATGAAAATAGTCTGAAACATACATTAAATATGAGTTGCATTGATGGCATACCACATGGCTACAAGTACGTGGCAATCAGTACAAATTTAACTTGTTCTAAATCTCAGATACCTGCCAGTTCATCCTGTGGTTTTAATAAGGTTTAATTTATTAGAACTGAAGTGGCCTAAACCTTGCTTGCTATGCCTTATGCCAGGAGTGCCTACACTGCTGTTGGAGAGGAATACATGCTATGTAGCAGGACATGTTCCTGCTGAGCCTCCAGCTCTTCAGTGTCTGTGCTGTTTTGTAAACACACCCTAAACATTCTAACATCCACATGTTTGCTTGGGCCAGGCCATCTCTCTGAACTCTGACAGCCACTGACAAGTAAATTCTTACTATGAATCACCTTCTTTGCAAGAATCTCTACTTGTCCACTCTGAAATATCTCCTCACTTTAAACTCACATAATAATTCTTATCTACTTCCAGCCAAGCTGGCTTTTGCTGTTTGCTCGGTTTAGTGTTTCGAGATAGAGTCTTGCTATGTAGTCCTGGCTGGCGTCAAGCTTGCAGTGATCATCCTGCCTCTGCCTGTTTGAAAGTGCTGAGATTACAGGTGTGTACTCTAACGGTGTTCTTAATTTGTACACCTCACTCTTCCTAGAAAAGTACTAGGTCCTCTCTCAAGCATGTGAAAGGAAGAATCCCTGCCCTGTAAGAAAGCAGAAAACCTCAAGGATCCTTTCCAACCTCCAAGGTGCTATCTAGTACACCACACACTCTGGTGTCGACCTCAACTGAAAAAAAAATGTGCTCCGTTTGTCAACGTGCAAAATGTTCTAGATGCCTTTCTCGGATTTCTATTCCTATAAAATTTCTAAAAATACTGCTGGAGACCTTTCAGGTTTCCAAAGACTTTATATGTCACCTCCTGTGACTTGAAAGATAGTTACTTAAGTGCCTATGAAAACTGAGTTACGTCTAAGTCAAGCCAAGATGTATTTATTGGTGCTGGAGAGATTACTCAGTGGTTCCCAGCTCCCATGTTGGGAGGCTCACAACCTCCTGTAACTCTAGGTCCAGGAACTCTGCACCCTCTGCTGGGTGCAAATGCATACATACACACACATTAAAAAAAAAAAAAAAAAACAACTTGAATCTATCTTAAAAAAGAAATATGTTTATTTTGTGACTCTCCTTGGAAACTCCTAACAGATCCAATGTTAATTATATCAAGAGGTACAAAATTCCTAGATCAACAGTTGTCTAACATTCTTTTATAATGAAGAACTCTTCAGTTATAATTAATGAAATTAATTATCTGCATATTTTGCTTGTCTTAAATTCAGTATTATTTGTTATAGTTCAAATAAGGTAAATACAGAATTAAAATTTTTCAAAATTAAGCTTGGGAATCTTGGTATATGCCTGTAATCCCAGCACAGTGTGTGGGGGGGCGGGGGGCTTGGGGGGGATTCTGGCAGAAGAAATAGGAGTTCCTTGGCTACATAGCAAGTCTGAGAACAGCCTGGACTGTATGAGATTCTATTTAGATTTTTTAAAAAGGATTCAAAATTATCATTTTACTCTGAGAAACTCCATTTTTTTTTTTTTTTACTGATGGGCTAAGAAAATAAATCCATTTACCACTACATTTTTTTTTCTCATTAAAAATCAGTTTGCTGGGCATTGTGGCGCATGCCTTTAATCCCAGCATTCTGGAGGCAGAGGTAGGCGAATCTGTGTGAGTTCAAGGTCAGCCTGGTCTACATAGCGAGTTCCAGGCCAGGTGGGTCTAAAGGGAGACCCTGTCTCAAAACAACCAAAAAAAAAAAAAATCAGCTCAAAGACCCTCAATTTTTGTAGTAACAGGGTTGGAGTTAATAGTGATGTTGTCAACATTCTATGGGGGCTGGGGGGATGGCTTCAGGAGTAAAAGCACAGGCTGTCTTTGCAGAGGATCTATGTTTGGTTCCCAGCATCTACATGGCAGTCAGCAACTACCTATAACTCCAATATCAGGATATCCAATATCCTCTTCTGGTCGCCACAGGCACTCCACCACATAGTGTATTACATACATGCAGGCAAAACACTCATAATATAAAATAAAAAATTTAAAATCTTTAATAAAAATTGCTGTTTTTAATACTTTAATATACAATATTGTATGACCTTCAGAAGGGGAAAAAAGAAAGAAAGACAAACTGGAAGAGGACATACATTTCCAATAAGCTTTTATAATGATAACATTTGGAAAGCTTAGGTAGAAATTAATCTTTCAGACTTAGGAATCCTCCTGAAGAGTTTAATCAGCACCAGTTACAACTCCCTTTTTTATCTGCTTTGAAAACGATCCAACATACAGTGTCCAAGGTCTTTATGATAGTTCCAACACAAAGAGGAAACACCTAGTTTTCCAGTGTTCCATGTCTTATTTGCTTGAGAAACTTGCTTAATCATTCCTTAGTTAAAAACAAAATTCTCTGCCTGATCGGAAATTGTCAACATTTTTTTGATATCACTTAAGCAAAACAACTAATAGACTCATAAAGTTTTAATACTAGGAAAAAGAACACCACCATCTGGTGACGAGTGAGCTCATGAGTTAAATGGAAAAATAATGACAAACCTTCAGCTACAAGAAAGATTTGATAGCATCACTTGTTATATTATGGCCCATTAGTGTGTCACAAAATTTAGTTAATGGAATATGACTAACATTCTCTATAAAAGAGAGTAAAACAGAAATCTATTATGGTCTAGAAAATATCTGAATTCTACATGTAGTATGGAAAAGCATTGTTTCATGAAACCTGTGTTTCAGTGACATATAGGACTATTTATCCCCTCATCTATGACTCCACCTATATACACATTGGGTCACAATATAAAATAAATTTCTTAATAGGAAGAGTGGTAAAAAAGGTTTTAATTTAGAGAATTACCAGTTCATTTTCCTTTCCATAAAATTATGTAGCATGTGCAGTTATGGTGTACTAGAGTCACAGGATTGAGATGAAACCTTTAGAAACAGAGGACACATTTCTTTTACAATAGCTTCACTACTGGATGCAGTGTAGAGCAGTAGTGATTTGGTAGACTAGTACTTAGGGAAGGAAAACAATGCAGGGACCTATTGGTGTCAGAAGTCTATGAACTGGGCTGGAGAGATGGCTCAGCGGTTAAGAGCACTGACTGCTCTTGCAGAGGACCTGGGTTCGATTCCCAGCACCCACATGGTGGCTATGAAATGTCCTTAACTCCAGTTCCAGGAGAATCCGAAGCACTCTTCTGACCTCCGTGGCATTGCAGGACATGGGTGCACTCATACACATGCAGGCAATACACTCATACACATAAAATAAAAATAATAAATAAAAAATAAAGTCTATGAACTATCTTAATATCGTTAAAGACACAACAGAGTCAAACACCAGCATGAAGCCCCTTGGATAAATACAGACTCCGTTTACTCTCATAAGTCCAATATATGCATATACCTATTTTGGGCAGTCTAACTCTTCTTAACTCTTCTGGGGAGAGCCTTATAGCATCAGGGCCATGCAACAAGCTTAAAAGGCAATGCTGAGGACTGACTTGAGCAGGGGATTATAGGATACCCTGCCACATCACCCTACAGCTCTTAGAGACTACATTACAAGCTTATTCCTTCTTCCTTTGCCTTTCTGACACCACAAATAACCTTAGAAGCACCGTTGACTCAATTAGCACCCCAGAGCTAATGAGAAAATCTTCTTGGCTCTGCTTTCTAAATATATCTAGAATCTTTCCACTTACCTGTCTCTGCTCTGCTATTGGCCCCATCTAAGCCCCCATTACCTCTCTCCAGGATTCTGATGCAGGCTCTGCTTCCCACCTCCTCTCCTTTTGTGGATTCCTTATCTAGCAACCAATGTGATCCTTTTGAAATTGAAAATACACCTTGTAACTACTCTGCCAAACTCTCCAATGGCTCCTTGTCTTCCTGAGGTATAAACTCTTGCCTGCTATATGAGGCCCAATCTATGAGGTCCTTTCCTCTAATCAGACCACCGTTCTGTCCCCAACTATACTGGCCTCTTTAGCTTTTCCTAGAATATATCAACCGCACTCATGCCTTAGGGGCTCTGTACTTTCTGTTCCTTCTGCTGTGAAATTCTTCTCCAGATATGAGCATGGATAAGTCAGTCAATCACCCCCTTAGTATTGTACTAAATGTTCTTTAGTGAGGTCTATTTATCCTTCCATTCCCATTTTCTTTGTCCCTTGGCATTCTGAGCCCTCCTATCCTGATATTTACTTTTTGTTATTTTTAATCTTCAGCTTTACAGCATAATTGACTTATTTGTTATATCCTTGTGTATGCAGAGACTGTTTTTTAAATATTTTATTTATTATTTTTCTTCTATGTGTATGAGTGTATTGCTTGCATGTGTATGAGTGCACCTGTGTCATGCAATGCCACGGAGGTCAGAAGAGGGCTTTGGATTCCCCTGGAACTGGAGTTAAGGATGGTTCGTAGCTGCCATGTGGGTGCTGGGAATCGAACCCGGGTCCTCTGCAAGAGCAGACAGTGCTCTTAACCACTGTGGCATCTCTCCAGCCCCTAGATTGTGTATTTTGTTCATTGATTCATTGTCATAATGACCTAGAACAGTGGCTGGCATACAGCGGGCACTCAATAAATGAATGGAGAGACAGTGAGCTCTGGAATGTTCTATCCATTCTAACTTGCAATAGAATATCCAGTCTCCAATCAGAAATAGGATCCCTGTATAATCAAGCCCCTTGGCGGTTACTTCTAGTCACAAACACTCTTAATGTAGTGATGTTGAGCCAAAGAATAGTCCAATGAGAACCTCAAGGCCATTTTATATTTAAGCCAAGGTAACTATAAACCTACGGCAAAATCAATAGATTCATGGCTGTGTAGGAAAAGTTTCTTATAATAAATTTTAAACACTGTTCATGATATCAGAGAAGATAGTTTTAGTTAATATGGTAACCTGGTGCTTGGCAGTTAAAAATATCTGGAGCAAAAAAGCATTTTCCTGTCTCTTCAGCAATCAAGGCATAGTCCACCTGGCTGAGACCACTCACAGCTGGCAAAAACAAGTTCCACAGGCCTTCTGCTCTGGCCATTTCCTGTCAAGAGGAGGAAGAAGTGATCAAAATTTACCATGAGCCAAAGTAGCTTATTTTAAGAAGATATTGGTGAGTATGCTTTGTGGAATTTGGAAATATTTATGGAGTTATTTCATTGTATTCTACACTGTGTTAAACTGAGGTGTTATTAATTCATTATAAGCAAACTGTTTCTTAGTCATTAAGAAAACATTTTTTCTCCAGGCTTTCTTTGGTTCTAAAAATAAGTTTGCTTACTTTGAAGCTTCTCATTAGATCAGAATGATTACAAAACCTCCCACATTTGAGTATAATTATGCCAATATGTTACACACTTCAGTTTCTGACATGTGTTGCTGGTAAGATGTGAAAGCATGAAATGTGGATTTAGCCCACATGGTATAAATGTCCTGCTTTGTCCCCGTTCCTTGCTGCACAAATCCAGAGCCTTGAGCATACTAGGCAAGAGCTCTTCCACTACATGGCAGCCTGGCCTCCAATCCCCAATGCCCTCCCTACTCTGGCTTTCAATTGAGTGACAGCTGGCAACGAGCAGATTTGATCTTGCTTGTTTCTCTGAATAGCTGAAGAGACTATATTCAAATACCCCATGAACAATGCCAGGTAGCCTGATTTAAATAGTATAGATTTTATTTTTTTCAATTTTTTAATTTTTAAATTTTTTTTAAGAAAGGGACTCACACTATAGCCCTGGCTCACTATGTAACTCCAGGTTGACTCCAAGCTTGCAGCAATCCTCCAGTCTCAGCCTCCTTTCCAAGTGTCAAGATTACTGGTATGAACAAAACCCAGGTTCAATTTTTTAAAACTTTATCTTAAGAAAGTTGTTCCTGAAGCATGTCAACTTTCATGTCTGTGATCAACGCGCTGGGAAGGCAGAGGGAGGAGAGGAGGATCACCACAAGCTGGGGCCAGTCTGGTCTACATAGCAAGGCCTTGAAGAAAAGAAACAAAACAACAACAAAGTTGTTACTGGTGTAATTATCCTTTATCTATAAAACAACAACAAAATTAAGGTCTCTAAAAACATTTGCATATGAATTTCCCAATTTAAAGATTTTCTTATTTCTCTTACCTTTAGCTTTTCAATCACTAAAGGGTGTCCCCACTTGTCTGATGAGTTTTCATTTTGAGCATAATATGCTAACACCTCCTTAAAATAATAAAAGGAAAAAATTAGCTTAAGTTAATACAAAGTAGACAATGCCATGAACTGGTGGTAGCTAAAGTAAACATTCTTAAGGAAAGAAACTTTTTCAGCTGCTGTTGAACTGTAATACATTTGTGAGTGTGTGTGTGTGTGTGTGTGTGTGTGTGTGTGTGTGTGTGTGTGTGTGTGTGGGATTTTTTGAGACAGGGTCATACTATGTAGCCCAAGCTGTGCTGGAACTCATAGTTCTACATCAGCCTTCTAAGTTCTGGGTTTACAGGCATACGTTACCATTCCTGGCTAGTAATATTTCTTTTTTAATACCAGATATAGAATAATAAAAATTCTTAAAATTTGCTATTCATTAAATTAAGCAGCTTCAATACTGAATAGTAACAATCTCATACTCAAGCAAGCAATCTCATACTATTTCCAGCAAGGTGGTAGACTAGGTGGGCACAGAAATTCCTCAATGAAAAAGATTGGGTGAGATGTTAAAACAATTTAAAATTCATTTAGTAATGCACAGTTGTGTTGGAAGGAAAATAAGAAATTCCTCAAGGCCAGGAACAAATAAGCTTGACTTATTTGTGAGTGAGGATTGAAGCCAAACCTGTCTCCCAGGCTGTGGAGGCTGATTTGAGTCCTGGGTTTCCCAAGCCACATCAGCAGGGGTCAGAACACAAAGTCAGGTGCCTGAAATTTAGCAGGAGGGACAGTGGGGGAATCAACCTTCCTTTCACTAAAGCCAGGATGCTTGATGAATAAAACCCAAGTAGGGGAAAAAACAGGCAAAAACAAAACAGAAATCTGCACCCTTCAGAAGCAGACCATGATGGCCAGGTGTGGTGTGGCACGCCTTTGATCCCAGCACTCAGGAGGCAGAGGCAGGTTGATCTCTGTGAGTTCAAGGCCAGCCTGGTCTACATAGTGAGTTCCAGCTGGGGCTACAAGGAGACCCTGTTTCAAAACAAAACAAAACAAAATATAACACAACAAAAAAGAAGTAGGCCGTGGCAATAACATCCTACATACTGGTCTCAGATTTGAGTAGAACAGACAAAAGAAACACTGACAACCCTGCCTTCACCCAAGTTATAGCTCTGAAATCTTGGCCCCTGTAGCCCTGGAACCTCAAGTCAGGGTACAATGTTCTGGGAACAATGGCTGCAAGCACCTGGCAGGAAAAAGAACAAACCTCTCTGGAGGAAAGAACTTTGTACAAAGCCTTATGCAACTTTTTCAGGTCAAATTGCATCCCAAGGTACATGATGAGTCTTCCATGAAAAATTACTAATCACTCACGGAAACGAGCCACCACATGCAAGAATCAGCAAAAGCAGCAAGTCAACAAAAACAGTCATGCTTCCTAAAAGCTACAGATAATGTTCACATATACCACATGAAATATTTGTGGTTGGTAGATTCCAAGAACAAAGGAAGGAATTAGAAGCACAACATGGAGATCAAAGCCGACAGAGCAAATCTGAAATGTGACCCAAGTAAAATAAAAACTCAGCAAGTAAGCCTGGGCATGTTATTGCAGTTTCCCAGTAGCAGGGTAAACAGAGCACAGTTCACAAATGACTTTGGTGAGCTTAGGTCCCTGTTCTTTAAGAGCTCTCCAGATAATTCTCAAACTCTCCAAAATTAGACAATTCCTATCTATGGAGAGTTAAAAAGTGACCTAGATATGGCTAGAAAAAAAAATAGAGGAAAGAGCTGAAGAAATTACTCAGCACAGAAATTCAAGAGAGGGAAGTAAGAGTGAATGAGGGATATAATGGATTCAGAAAGTTGAGAGTTGATGTCCACAGCAACAAATGAAGCCAGAAATTTAATGGGACAGGGCCAGAGAGATGGCTCAGCAGGTAATGGCATCTGCTGCCAAGCCTGAAGACCTGAATTCGAGTCCTAGGACCCACATAGTAGGAGAGAATTGACTCTCACAAGTTGTCCTCTGACCTCCATGTGTGTACTGTGGCAAGCACATACAAATATATAATAAATGTAATAACTAATTAATAATAATAATAAAAGAAATCAAAGTGGAAGTATCCGCAATTACTGAAAGACAGTACCTAATAACCTAGAAGTCTACATCCAAACGGTGTGGTAGTGCAATACTTGAGAGGCTGAGGAGGAGAAATGTGAGTTTGAGGCTAGCCTGGGCTACACTGAGAGACCCTGTCTCAAAAACAATACTGTCTTTCAAAGAATTAGGACAAAGTAAAGGTATCATTAATTAGTAAGGCACTACTCACCCCCTTAAAAAATATCAGAAGATTCTTAGTAAAAGAACTGATTCTAGAAGAAACATCTGAGTCACAAGAATGAATAATAAAGTAATAACTGAGTGGGTAAATCTAAACAAAACTATTCAGACCAAACAATCATCCTGAGTGAGATAACTCAGACCCAGAAAGACAAGTGTCACACGTTCTCTCTCATATGTAGATGCTAACTTTGAATCTTCAGATATGTGTGTTTCAATTGGAAAATTCATAAAGGTCAGGAAACTAGTACAGAGCCATTCGGGGAAAGACAGCTTCCAGGGAGGGGAGATAGAAAGCAGTGATACAAAACATGAAAGAGGAAATACAGAATAGGCAGAGTTAAATGGGTATGAGATGGGAGGGAGGGTAGAGGAGAGAGTATGGGAAGGACAACTAACACTAAAGCCCTTTTGAAAAAGTCATATAGAAACCTACTGTAGAAGCTTTCTAAAATATAGACATATGCATGCATAAAAAGAGTTTAAATGGAATTACCTGAAACAGGGGACAGTGCCTCTACCAGATACCACAGGCTAGAAAATAAAAAGCCCAGTGACAGGAATGGGTTCCCTCTTTTGGAGTTGTTGGCCAGATGATGTCCCACAAACCATAAAACAATACTAGCTAGTTATTGCCATTGCTCTTGGTTACCCACCAGAACTTGACAATAAGACCCTGTTTCTGAAGACACTACATACTTGAGTCACAGAACATGGGGAAATCAACCTGGTACTGACCTTGAAGCTTCATCTCTATGCCTGTCTTTCATAGTGCTGGAAGGTGTTATGCATGATACCAGAAGGAAAAAGTAATCAGCCTTACCCAGTTGTGAACCCTGCAAGCTACAAGAACAACTATCCTGGCAAGATAATGCCCATTGGTTGCACAAATGTGAAGATGTAGCCATTCAGTTTATGACTGGATTTGAGGCCCGCTTCAGAAGAGAGCCCATACCTGGCACTGTTATTGGGCCTAAGAAACTGTGGCCCAAGAACCTAGGCTGTACGGAAGCACATCCTACTATTATTCTGTTAAATGGACGTAGTATTAGAGTACTCTTAATAGTTTATCATTATACCCATAGGTTAGTGCATCTCTCAACTCACGCCAGAGAAGCTTCTTTTTGAAGTAGATGTGATTAACACAGAGACCCTCAAATGGTCAATGTGCAGAGAATAAGAGACTGGAGCACTCAGCCCTAAATGGGACATTCTTACCATACTTCTCCCTTATTGGCTCAGGGATTATCACAGAAGAAGGGTTGGAAAGTTTCTAAGAGCCAGAGGGGTGGATGAATACAAGGAAACAGTGTTTTCTGGATACAGCAGGGCAGTTGCACTTGTGAACTTACAGCACTTGTGACAGTATGCACAAGATCTGTGCAAGCCCAAGCCAGAAAAAATCCCGGCGTGGAAGAAGGAAGTGGACATAGAACCCCAGCCCTAGTTAAGGAACTAGTGGCAAGTGACAGGTACTGGGAGAGGGAGAGTTGGGTTTTCTTTAAGGGTGTGATGCCAGGTAGATTGACTATGCTCCAGGGGACGGACCCTGTTCTAGTTTGCCTTCAATTGCTGTGATAAAACACTGCCAACTCGGAGAGGAAAGGGTTTATTTGGCTTACATTTCCCAGGTCACAGTTCATCACTGAGAGAGCCCAAGGTAGGAACTCAGGGCAGGAACCTGGAGCACAGACCACGGAGGTATGTGCCTACTGGCTTGCTCCCCTGGCCCGTGTTCAACCTGCTTTCTCATACAATACAGGGCCACATGCCCAGGGGTGGCACCACCCACAGTGGGCTGGGCCTTTCCACATCACTCCACAATCAAGAAAATGTCTCACAGACATGGCCACCTGCCAGTCCGTTGGAGGAAATTCCCCAGTTGAGGCTCCTTCAACTCTGGTGTGTCAAGTTGACACTATAGCTGTCCAGCACAGAGCAACACACACAAAAATTGAACTCAAAAGACCTTTAAAAATAGAGGACAAGGAGTGGAGGTTAAGTAATTGGGGGAATTTGAGAGGAGATGGGGAGGGGATCCGAATATGATTAAAATACATTGCATGAAATTCTCCAAAAAATCAAAAATATTTTAAAAAATAAAAAGAAAGAAAATTTATTCAAGGCATGGTCGAGGATATCTGGGATTATGGAAGTACGGGACAAAATCTTGATCTTCATAGAAATTATCAAATTAAGGAGAGAAAATCATTATAGAATAAATATGTAATAAGTTGTATGATTAAAACTATTTAATGGCAACAGTTCAGGGGAAAGAGACACAACAGGTCACATGAGTAATCTGGAGAGATAGCCTAAATCCTCCATAATACTCAACAGTACAATTGCCACAGAACTGAACTGATGGGAAACTGTCTTTTATTTCAGCTAGATGAATCAGATCTCTTATGACCCTGGGATAGTTGCTGGTGGTATTGAAATCGTCTACATTTCCAAAGTACATTTCTGATTTTTAGACTCTTAATATGGGTATTAACTTTGGGTCGGTATGGGTCCCTCAGGCTCTTCGCTTTTATCTCCTCTTCTGTGTCTGTCACTAGCTCTTCCTCTTTACATGTCTGCCTTTTTTTGAACTGGAATTTGATTAAATTGCTGTAAGAAAACCCAAAATTTTTTCATGCATACCAGCAAGCTATTTTAGAAAGTTATCCTACCAAAATTTACCACACTAACCAATGGACAAAAAATGCACAATGTTGTATGAAGCAGGTTTCTGCACTGCCAATGCCTCCAGGATGAAGTGCACTTGTCCTTCAGTCAGGAAGTCAGATCAGAAGGTTTCCTGTTTGGAGTTGTTTATTACCTCTTTCCTAGGACTGCCATAAAAATAGCCAATGCTATTGCGTTTGTCACAAGACATTCACGATTTCCCCATTCCTGACAACCTCCTTATGCTGCTACAGTTCTGAGAAATTAAACTATGCCAGTGTTTATATGACTATTTTAAAACGTTATTTAATACTTCAGATTCTAAAGTCTATCCATTTAGACAACTACAAAACGTATCTGTGTTATAGTAGAACTCATAATTAAATAAAGTACTTCATAAAGTATGAAAACAATTTATTAAGCCAGGTGTGGTGGTACACACCTATAGACCCAGCTGTGTGGGAAGCTGTGGCAGGAGGATCATTTGAGCCCTTTGGGCTTCCTTACTGTTTTTCTAAAGCTCCCTTCCCCAGCATGTGGTGGCCTACTGCTACATGCCTGACTTCCACAATGGCTTAACTCAAGGCATGTTTTTTTCCCCTTTTCCCCTCTATTTTCCCTGGGCCAGTGGCTGAGATTTACTGCTTGCCTGCTTGCCCTGGGATGTTTTTCTTTAAAACGCTAATACAATTGTCCTCAATATCTCATTTGAATCCTTCTTAAATTATTTTATTTAGACTAAGAGCCCCAAAGGGGAACCTCATTTCCCTGGTATCATCTGGTGATCATAAAAGGACTCCCCACACTTCCAAGTAGCATTATCATTATGATCCAAGTACATGCTCCATGAGTGTTAAAATGCTGGTGTAGTGTATGATACAATCTTATTTTCTAGACGTGACTGTTGGGGTTTTTTAAACTCATTTATAATAATATTGAATAGAATTTTATATTTTCTTCCTTTTATTTTGAAAAAGGCTATTTCCTTCTCCACAAATCATTCCAGATGCATATGTCCTACAGCCAGGGGTTATCATTGTTCAGAATCATCCTCCAGGATAAGACATTTTTATACGTGGCAATACAAGTTTTTAAAGGAAGACAGTGCATATTATCAGTTGTGGAAACATGTTTTATTTGAAACATTTTGCCAAACACAAAATGGCTTTTGTTCCCACATGAAACTTGGCCAATCTTCTCACTCTATAGTCTGTCTGGTTTTTCTGCTTGCTTTTACTTCTTTTACTGTGATTCTTTGCAGGTATTTTTAAAAATTTTATTTATTATCTTTATCTTATGTACATGAGTATACTGCCTGTACGTATGCAAGTGTACCCAGATCCTGCAATGCCTGCGGAAGTCAGAAGAGGGTGTCAGATCCCTTAGAACTGGGGTTACGGAAAGTTGTCAGCCACCAGTGGGTGCTGGGAATAGAAGCTGGGTCCTCTACCAGAGCAGCAGTGCTCTTAGCCCTGAGCATCTCTCCAGCCCCATTTGCATGTGTGTCAATAGCTGCACATCACTAAGTTCTGCAGTATCACCACCTCGCTCTGACCCTGTCTTCTCTGCTGCAGTTTCCTCAGAATGCCTGCTCACATTTGGGAATGAAAGAGAAAACCTGTTTGTTTTTCTCTGCCAAATCTGGCCCATCCTTAGAATAATGGGCTGGCTTCAAGTACTAGCACACCACCAGGCAGGCTACATTTTAGCGTGAGCATGTGAACATGTAGGAACTGGGCAGGCTGATGGGGGAGCTGCGGTCTCTTTGCAGTTTCTCAATAAATAAGGAAGCAAACAAACAAAAACCTCTAAACAATGGAGGGTCCTGCTCTGGCCCATTCGCCTTCATGTGGAAGCCCTGGCTTATGAAACATTTAAAGCTTTTAAAGTGTTGCTAGAGTCTTCTGTTTGCCATTGCTGTATATGGTTGCGAGAGACCAACCCGTGAAGCTGGATAATTCTTCAATTCCTTGATTTTTCTTCACTCTCTTTGCTCTCCTGATTTCACCATTACAGGGAAATGGTTCTAACCTATAATATAGCCTTCTCTTATGTCAAAGTTCTTTCACAGAGTGACTCCCTCTCCTACATTTATTTTGGGGTGTGATCCATTCATTCTGCTTTCCAAATCTATTTTGCATTGTCTTTGCAAACCTTTTGTCTTCTGGGGTGCCCAGTGGACTTTCTTGCTTTTACCTATTTAGTTCATTGTTCTAAAACTTCTTTATCATTAATTCAATAAATTTTATTTGAGGGGATGGGCATGGTGAATTCAGACCCCCATTTTAAATTAAGAATGCTATTTCCCCCTTTTGGTACCTTAAAGTTTAGAGTTTTAAAACTCAAAATTGAATGACTACTAACTAAAGCAGAAAATAGTGATACTTTTGTGAGAGGTGATTATTTTAGAATTTACTCACAATTAAGTATGTTTTTAAAGAAACTGTATCTCATTCTAAGCAAAATGTTCATCTCCAGCAAGATATTTAGCATTATGACAATCATTCATATGACTCAACTAGGAGCACTAGCTTCCCTGTAAACACGTGTTACTGCTGAATACTGTTGAAAGAACTTTGGTCTTTTAAGTTCCCTATTTAACTTTTCAAGTTGAGCTCTAGACCATTCAAAATCACAGACAATTAAAATGAGATTTTCTATACATCTTGTTAGGCCAAACTGGGCCCTAAGATGGAGTCACTACTGGACCAGCAACATGGCAGCCACAACCCCGAGGGTAGCATTCCCGGAAACAGAAACTAAACTGCCCTAGTTTCTCAATAATTACCTGACTCCTGCTTTTAACAATACACTCTAATCATAACTGCCATTTTCTATTGCAGCCAACCGAAAAACTGAAAAACACCTAACTAAACTCCCCCTGCCGAACCACCTGCTACTGACTCACCCCCATCCCCTTCTGCTACAGCCTCACCTCCCCCTACCACAAAAGAAAGAAATCCTATAAAATTCAGCCTGCTGTGATGAGAACCCCCTGACCTCTTTCTGGTGAGAGTGACCCAGCAGCTCCTACATCCCAATAAATTTCTCCTTTTCTTGTCTCCGAGTGGTCTCTTGTCCTGGTCTTTCCCTAAACCTAACACATCTAGTGAGGCATACCCACACTGTAGAAGAAGAAACTGAGACCATAACAGACCAACTAGCACACAGCCACCAGCCCCATGCCAGGGACCGAGTAGAATCAAGCCGTTATAATTTCCATACCAGCATTCTCCCCACACACATGTTCTCACCTCCCTTACAGTTTTTCCAAGGGCTCTTATCTTTTCTTCACAGACTTTGTCACCTTTAATGTCCTTTTCTACAGGAGCACAAACCCTATGTTTTCTTTCATATTCCATCGCTCCCCAGATGTCTAGTCTGTTAGCAGGTACCCAGTGGAGGTTCCCTAACTGGATGAGTACTGCCTCACTGCTCTCCTTGAACTTCTTCAATTTAATATCTTCTAACAGTAGTCTATGGGGAGAGAAAAGGTGGTATATGTAAACATCTTGAAACGACACGCAAAAGTTTATGGACATGTCTATCTTGGGGAACCCACAGCTCTCATTAAATTATCAAAGCGGGGGGGGGTGGCTGGAGAGATGGCTCAGCGGTTGAGAGCACTGACTGCTCTTGCAGAGAACCCGGGTTTGATTCCCAGCACCCACATGGCGGTTACGAATCTGAAGCCCGCTTCTGACCTCCGTGGCATTGCATGACATGGGTGCACTCACATACATGTAGGCAATACACTCATACACATAAAATAAAAACAATAAATAAAATATTTTTTTAAAAATTAAAAAATAAATTCTCAAAGGGGTCTACATTTTAAAAGATAAAAAGTCACTGTCTTAGGAAAAGGCACCCTGATGCACTGTTTTATTCCAGTCTCAGGCCCTTCTGTCAATTCCCTTTGTCTTAGTTTTGCTTCTGCAGACTTACCTACATACTCTGGGCATATTTGAGAAGCTCAGAACTTCTGAGCTCAGTGTTAAGTCTAGGTAAGGACTGACAGCAAAGAAAACAGCCCTGTGGTTTCCCCACTGGCAGAGATGAGAGAACTATACACTACAGTCCTTTAGTGCAAACACTGTTTATACCCACCTTTTCAGCTGGAAGGATGTGTTGTTTCATGAACTGCTTCACCTTAGTAAAAACTTCCTGACCCCTCCTACTCTGCGCAAACAACTGTCTCTTAGGATCAGCCTGTGGCAGTGCAGTACTTAAAGTTCTTTACCAAAAGATAAAAGAAAGTTACAAAGATGTTACAAAGATGTCCAAAATCATTATTATACATTTTTGAGAAAAACGCAAAGTCTCCAGAGCTAATCAGTATCCCTTAGGAGGAGTTGCCACATTTTTCAGGCTTGAATTTATTAGTGATGTTATTGTATTTTGTTTTGTGGAGCTTTTTGCAGTGTTAGGGATCAAACTCTCAGCCTTGCAAATGCTAGGCAAGCGCTCTATCACTGAGCTACAGCCTCAAGGAGTTTCTGTTTTTCACATTATGGAATGAATGTAGAATTACTTTACTTTGAACACTAAATTTCAGTGCTGAAAGCACTATTTGGGAAAACAGATGCTTAGCATGACCTCAACCAATGCTACCTCTGAATATTTATTGAAGCCAGGTGTCATAGTCCCCCCAAAAAACCATGGAATATGAACACAAATTCCACCATTGTTCTTTGTATATGTCTCACAAATACCATTGTAGGCTGTTTTAAGGAAGGCCTTTTTAAAGATTTTTTTTTCCAAATTTTATGTGTATGAGTGTTTTGCCTGTATGTATGGAAGGATGTCATGAGCATGCAGTGCCCGTGGAGGCCAGAAGCGGGTGTCATATCCCCCAGAATTGGAGTTAAGAATAGTTGTTAGCTGCCATATGGTTGTTGACAAGCAAACGCAGGTCCTCTGGAAGAGCAGCCAGTGTTCTTAATCCAGCCAGTGCTTATAACTGTGGAGCCATGTCTCCAGCCCCCTTTAAAGACTTTAAAGAGCAATATGAAGCATAGCTGAGCTGGTTGTTGTTGGAAGGCTCACAAGCAGCAGTCTAGAAACGAATTGTGAAAAACAACCATTCCAATGTTATATCAAGGGTAATTGGGGCTTAGGAAAAATTCCTGGGATTAGAATCACATATATTTTGTGTAAGGAGTGTGACTGGTGAAACACATTTGTTAGATGCCACAAAAATGCTCCACTGATGGAAACATAGGCTTCAAAAATATTTATGAAATCTTAGAATAAAATCTCATGAAATATAAGAAAAAGTAGTATTTTGAAGTTAATCTAACATACCATTTTACAGAGATATATGTAAGCAAAGATATTATAAGGAAATATTTAAGTTGAATCTATATATTTAAAAGGTTATACATTCAAGTTGGTAAAGAATATTTTTAATCACAAATATGGGAATTTTCTTTATATTTTAGGTCACTTTTTTTAAGCATACAGAGATTTATCAAAAACTATCCTGACTGGTAGTAGCCATCCTTATATAGGTAATAACATAACTTCTATTTCTTAAAGTTTATAAGTTTCACATACCTAATAATTATTTAACTGAGTAGAAGAACCATGTTGCCTCCTGACTCTGTTAACTTACTGAAACCTAGTTAATAGAGGCTCTAATTTGGGTTATCCCAAGCATCTCTTTTCCTTACCTTTTTGAGAGTTGTAATCCAGTTTCTGCCAGAGGTTGCACAGTATTGGTAGTCAGAAAACTATCCTCAGATGAATTATTTCCCAAGAGATATCTACTATATACTCCCTACAAGTAAATTAACACAGGACAATTAGAATAATTTAAAAGTGTTCCTCAATCATCCAGTTAGTCTTTTTACAGTTTCTCATCTGTGAGGGGAACTAAACTTACAGGGTACAAAGATGTCAATCAGGCCATCAATGCTGTAACTTACATGCAGGGATAACTGTACACCTCTAACTTAGAGTCATTCTCATGTACGTACTTGAGATATTCTCATTCAAATAGAACTGAAACCAATATCCAAACCAAACTTGAAAATGACTCAAGCCATTGACAAAGATACCAGTCCTACAGGTTACAACGTCTGTAATGAACCCTGCCGTCTCTTCACAGGTATCAAAATGGAACCAAACACGACACCAAAGAGAAGGCTATGAGATGACCTTTACTCTTTTTTGATCATTAATTTGGTAAAACTGTCTCCTTTGAACAGTGCAAGTTCAGTGCTAAGCAGCTTTTTCATAAGTCTCCATTTCTGTATTTCCTCCCATGTGATGGCTAATCTTCATTGTCAGTTTGACTAGATTTCAAAACATACGCTGGATGTGCCCATAAATGCATTTCTAGAAAGATCTAACTGAGGAGGGAAGACCCATGGGTGGCCCCATCCCATAGACTGAGGCCTCAGACTAAATACAAAGGAGAGAGCAGGCAGAGCAGCAGCATCGTCTCTCTGCTTCCTGAGTGAGGACACTGTGATCCGCTGCTTAAGCTCCCACTGTCAGGCTTCCCAGCATGGACTGCATCCTTAAACTGTGAGCCAAAATAAACCCTTCCTTCCTCAAGTTACTTTTTGTCAGGAACTTTGTCAGAGCCAAGAGGAAAGTAACTAATATACTCACAAACATCAACAGCTGAATTTCATGGTTTCCTTTCTAAAAATTCTTTATGCAATAAAAGACTATACTAATTTTTCTCTCTGTTCAATTTCATATTTCAGGTTAGAGTGGGGTGTTTATGATCATCTATGAGGCTCCAACTATATAGTTTATGACGCACATCTTAATTTCAGAATCTATGTCAAAATTTTATTTGAAATGAAAGGTACTTGAAATATGCAGCCTATTTATTTTGTGGGAACTGACAGATACAGGATCGTATCCATTTTGAGAAACTTGTTGGATCACAATGGTCAACTCTTAGGACACAGGATGATATGTAACTGAACTATTCCTGGAAGAATTTCAGTTGTCTGTCAATGGCATGAGCTCCAAGGACTGGACAAAAACCACCATAATTTCCCTTATTCCTTTTTTTCCCCATTATTTTGTATAAATTTCTAAAACCTTTTACTTACTCTTCTTCTAAATCCTAGTCTTGATGAAGTATAGATTTCTTAAACCTTTTAAGATTCAAAGTACCTGGAAACGGACTTAGTATAGAGGGAGGCATTTGTTCCTATTAAAATGTAACTGGAAAAAATACCTGATTTGTGCTCAATTTTTTCTCAAAGTTCATCACATAAATATGACTGCTAAGAACTGGAAATTTTTACTAATCTGTTTACTTGAAAACATATTAAGAGGCTACTAAATGCTAGGGACCATGTCAGCCTCCGGGCACTCTTCCCTCACCACCAGCCCTAGTCAGTAAGCAGCTTTTCCATCTCCCACAGAGAAAGGTCTTAGCTTGTCCACTGGACATTCCCAGAGTGGCCGTTACACAACCCCTTCCTACTTTGCCATTACTTGGCTCTCACCCTCCTTCCTGTAAGTTTATCAAGAAGTCATAACACATGATATTCAAATTTTCCTCTCATGGAAGACTTTTTTTCTAAGTTCTAGAATAAGATTTACTTACTTGTATCTGACACCTGTCATTTTGAAAAGCAAAATGGCCTAACAACAAAAACAGAAAAGCTTGAGGACCAGAAGATACTGTCAATAGTATACCAGTAAATAATGGTGAAATACTTGATTAAAATAATTACCTGTGCTATCCCAGCCAATTTAAAAAATGAAAGAGCCAGAAAGAAATTCCAGTTAGGAAGATTTGAGCTAATCCCCCTGAGTCGGCAATATATTGAAATCAGCTCTTCCATCAATGGTATCCCTATAAAAATAGCACATACAAACTTTAATGAAATGCCATGGTGAGTATGTCAAAATGGCATGTCACAGCACACAAGACACAATAGCATGTGTAACACAAAACAGGATTACCATTAAGTCACATGACATGTTCTAAATATTTATTCCTCAAATAACATTGCATGCAAAAAATTACTGTGCCATAAATTACAAAAAGCACAATGCTGAATTCAAAAAAATCATTAAAATGAATTTAAAACATTTTCAAGGAAAAAAACTACCTAAAATTGCAAGATAATTACATTTTTTAGTTCTGACAATATTTAAGAAGATTTTATATTAGTAGAAACATAGACAACATTATGCTTTGTACCTGTGTTTTCTTGAATGTGAGCGCCTCTGTTTATCATTGGTATTGTCCTTGGCCAAAAGTAGAACAGGGAAAGATGAGCCAGATCAGACAGGGGATGGCCAATTGTTGAAAGCTCCCAATCCAGGACTGCTATAACTCGAGACTGCAATTCAAAAGAAAAAGGTCTTTGGTATATTAAAACTCTAAACAGATAAAAGTAAGTAAATAGAAGAAATAATGCATTCAAATTCACATTTTTCCACCAAAAACCAGTATGAGGCCCCATAGTTTGTAATCTTTGCTTACGGCAGCACATCTCACTTATAAAATAACCAACCACCTTGACTATCTAGAGTCAAGGCCTCCGGTTCCAGTGCTGGCCATCAATCCTGCTGCATTTTGCTTTCTACCACCTTCCTATCTTATTTCTGCTACCAAACAGGAGCAAACACGGTTGAAACTTCTTGAATGGAGGAATTGTGGTAAAGAAGAGATTTTAATAATTAACTAATTTTATTTCAAGAATTAACTATAAGCAAGCATTTGTTCTAGTGATGAAATTAACTACATAACAAATATGCCACTATGGTAATGCTATTTTTAAAGTAAGTTACACGAAAAATAATTATTATAAAATCTTCTTTGCGAATACAAAATCTGATATTGTACAACATGATTGTGGACATGGGCAGCAGGCCCCAATCTTAGCCAAAGAACTATTGGCAGCTGATTACAGCTGGGTGAAGGAGAGCTGATCTTCTTTAAGGGAGAGAGTCCAGATAGGTTGACTAGACTCCAGTAGATGAATTTGCACTGAGGAACGTCAGGGAACACTAACATGACTTGATAGGCCTTAACATAAGTGACAGAATGCATGAAATCCACTGGGGGGCGGGGGGACTATGGGATGGCGCTATGGGATGGTGCCGATGGGATGATTAAGGTACTGAAATACACAAAAATTCAGTAACAATCATGTAATACAGAATGAAACGGAAAGCTTTCCTTGTTCTGTTTTGTAGCAAGATTGAAGGAATACCTGTATCTTTATGTTAAGGACATGGAACAATAGAAATACAAAGGAAAAAAAGCAAATTTCAGGAAAACAGTCTAGTACAATGCTATTTTTCTTTCAAGAGAATGGTTATTAGGGTTGGAGAGATGGCTCAGTAAGTAAAGGTACCTGCTGCCAAGACTGCTGACCTGAGTTGGATCCTTGGAGCCTACACAGTAGAAGGAGAAAGCTGACTCCTGCAGACTGTCTTCTGACCTTCACACACATGCTATGGCGAGAGTATGCCCCCTACCCCATCACACATAAAATAAATACATGTAATTAAAAAATTTTAAAGATACTGCCAGGCATGATGCTGCACACCTTTAATTTGAAGCAATCGGGAGGCAGAGGCAGTTGGATCTCTGTGAGATTGAGGTCAGCCTGGTCTACATAGTGAGTTCCAGGCCAACTGGGGCTATAGGGAGACCTATCTCAAACAAACAAAAAGGATATAAAGGTTACCAATTAATCTCCTAAATTGAAAGGTTTTGCATCAAGCTCACAGCAATGACTGTACTTCAAGGGACTGAGGCAGAAGATGAGATACAGAGAAGGACCTCTCCATTAGAGAAGTCTGTACAGAGGAGTGAGATCACATGGGTTGTATTCTGAAAGGGTCACTCTGGATGCTATGCTATGGACAGACTGAGGAGAATGCAGGAATGATTTAGGCCAGTAATTGAAGCCAGATAAAACCGAAGAACTCCTCTGTGCAGTGTGAATGGTGGTGTTCCAGCCTCCAAGCACCTGTGTGTGTACTTGTACTCCCATGCTTCTCAGGCAACACTTAGAAACACCTGTGCAGCTTTGTGGGTTATTGTGGGTTCTGAATCGGAAAGACTTTTATTCAAATCCTAGTCCCATCATTCGTTGGCTGAACAACTGTGAACAAGTTACTATTATTATTATTATTATTATTATTATTATTATTAGCCTTTTTGAAACAAGGTCTCCCTGTAGCCCCAGCTAGCCTGGAACTCACTATGTAGATCAGGCTTGCCTTGAACTCACAGAGATCTCCCTGCCTCTGCTTCCCAAGTGCTGGGATTGAAGGTGTACGTTGCCATGCTCAGCCTCTGAACAAGTTATTTAGCTTCTCTGGTGCTGAATTTTCTCACCATAAATCCACCTCTTACTTAAGGTTAATGTGAGAAGTCATTATAATGAGGGCAGATAGCATGTCTATACTGCTACCAGTTCCCAGCAAACTACCTGGTACGTGATAGGTGCTGACATGTATTTATTCAATGAATTAATACAGAGCCCAACATGTATCAGGCATTCAAAACTTACTATTATTGCTGTGGGGAAAAACTGATCACTCCCCTCTTATATCTAAGTAAGACCTTTCATTGTTATGGTTGTGTTGCATTACCAATTCCTGTAGCCGCTTAGTTTGCTATACTGCATTAAAAATGGTTGCATTTTTCTCATGTAGCATTCTGTTATCCGTGTTCTTAACATCCAAAGAAAGGATGAAGCACTTCTTACTTTTACGTATTTTTAAATGAAAACTTGGAGATTTCCCTGAAATTCAGTTTTAAGATAGTCGAAGGATTTTTTTGGAAAAACTTCATAAAGCTATAAAACAATGACTAATTAGAAAAGTTGGTGGTTTATCAAGTTATATCAATTAGTATAAATTAAGCAGTAACAGTTTATTAGAATTCTGTTGATGCCTGTGTGTGTTGAGAGCTATAAAAATCTCAGCATGAGATGGTAAGGTAAGGCTGAGACCTTAGCAGACAGCCTGAGAGTGCCTGATTTGGCCTCTGTCTGATGTAGGGGCTGAGAACTCAGCAGATGGTCTGAGAGTGCCTGGATCTGGCCTCCACATGGTGGTGAACTTCCCCAAATCTCACTGTACCTAATCCCTTAACTGGGATTACCTGAGGCTTCTCCCACGGCTCCTCCCACCTTTGCCCTAAGGTAGGGTAAGGCTGAGATCTTAGCAGACAACCTGAGAGTGCCTGATCTGGTCCATTCCTGGTGTAGGGGTTGAGAACTCAGTAGACTGCCTGAGAATGTCAAAATCGGGCCTTCCCTTAGGGAACTTCCCAAATTATGCTCTGAGTACCTGCTAGTAGGGGTCCAAAAGTTAGAAGTAAGCCTGAGTGTACCTGACTGGAGCCTGACTTGGGCTTCTGTGAGAGCTCCTGAGTAGCTGATCTGAAGCCATCAGTTCCCTCCAAAATAAAATCTGAGAGAACCAACATAACCAATAAGAAAACAACCAAAACAACCAAGGCACATCGATAATAGAAACAGAAGCAAACTTCAGTTCAACAAAAGAAGATTTGATTTTCATACCAGAATCACAAACAACAAAAGAAATACACATGCCAAAATCACAATGAAAAAAAATAATAAAATGGAAAGCCAAAACATTATGTCCCCACAACACTCCACCAGTCCTGTAGAAGAGTTCTGTAAGGAGAACCCCTAGAGATAACCCAGGACACAGAATTTAAAAGGACAATCATAAACATGACCAAGGAATTCAATGAATCTAAAAAACACACAAATAAACAAATTAAAGAACTAAAAGAAGATAGGGATAAACTTCTGAATGACTTTACAAAAGAGATAGAAACACTGAAGAAAACACAGGCTAAAATGAAGGAAGTGAAAAACTCAATAAACAAACTTGAAACAAGAGGGGGAAGCCTCACCATGAGAATTAATGAAATGGAAAACAATATCAACACTGGAGGATAAAGTTGAAGAATTGGCCCACTCAAGCAAAGATTATGAAAAAATTTTAAAAACACAGGAATGGAATATGCAGGAGATGTAGGATGCCATGAATAAAACAAATCTATGTATCATGGGCATAGAGAAAAGAGATGAATTTCAGGCTAATGAAATGACCAGATCTTAAACAGGATTGTAGAAGAGAATTTCCCAAAATTAAGGAATGACATGCCCATATAAATACAAGAAGCACATCGAACACCAAATAAACAGGACTAGAAAAGAAACTCCCCACAGCATATCATAGTAAAAACACTAAATGTACAGAACAAAGAGAGGATACTGAAAGCAGCAAAAGAAAAACAAGTCACATACAAAGGAAAGCCCATCAGAATTACAGCTGACTTATCAGTGCAAACCATGAAAGCCAGAAGAGCCTGGACCAAGGTATTTCCAGTTCTAAATGATCACAGATGCCAACCCAGAATACTTTACCCACCAAAAATGTCAATTATAGTTGAGAGGGAAAGAAAAATCTTCCATGACACAAATAGTTTGAAAGAATACATGTCCACAAAACCAGCTCTTCAAAGAATACTTGAAGCCATACAAAGAACAGAGAAAGGAACAACTATACCCCAGGACCAACAAAAGAAACTAAATGAAGATATAATTTTAGAAACACAAAATTAGACAAAAAATGCCAACAGTAATCAAAATGATGGCAACCAATACACATCTTTCAATAAATAATAACTTTAAATATCAATGGACTAAATTCCCCAAGTCAAAAGACACAGGCTAGTTGAATGGATTAAGAAATAAAATCCATCTTTTTGCTGTCTACAAGAAACCCATCTCACCTTCAAGGGCAGGCACTACCTTAATGTGAAAGGATAGAAAAGAATATTCCAAGCAAATGGCACTAAGAAACAAGCAGGGGTTGCAATTTTAATATCTGACAAAATAGATTCCAAACCAAAACTAACCAGAAGAGATAAAGAGGGTCACTTCGTTCTGATCAAAGGAACAATTAACCAAGAAGATATTACAATCCTGAACATACGCACACCAAACTCTGGTGCACCCAAATTCATAAAAACAACACTACAGGACTTTAAGACACAAATTAATCCCAACTCAGTAATAGGAGGGGACTTCAATATCCCACTGTCTCCATTAGATGGATCAACTGGACAAAGAATAAACAGAGAGATGTCTGAATTAAATGATACCATACATGAAATGGACCTAACAGACATCTTCTGAATATTCCACCCAAGCAAAAAAGGAATACACTTTCTATTCGGCACCCCATGGAACTTTCTCAAAAATTGACCACATACTGGGGCACAAAACAAACCTCAACAAAAACAAAAAATTGAAATAATTCCCTGCATTCTATCAGATCA